AATCAGTCGTCGACGATTTTGATAGTCGACGTAATCGTGACTAGTCGACTAATCGTGGCAGCCCTACTATAAACCTCTAATCAGTGGAGGTCACATTCATTCAGTGGGTCCATCCCTGACTCATTAGGGAATGAGTCAAGGACAAATACTATATATTTGTATTATATATCATAGCTAACTAATACATTCCTGGTTCTTGATGAGAAAATGTAACAGTAACTCAAATAACCACTCTTTACAACCAACATTCAGTATGCAGAAGGGTATCTCTGAACGCACAACATGTTGAAGCCGCAGCAACAGAAGACCACACCAGGTGCCACTCCTGTCATCTAACAATAGGAAACTAAGGCTGTAATTCGGGATTTACGGGGTAGGGCCAGAATCTAATTCAAACAACATGAAAACTTGGATCTATCCTCGCTTGTATCAATGACTCAGGCTGCTGGTGGAGTAACAGAGTGGAGAATATGTTGTTGGCAGACTTTGGGTACCAACTGATAACAACTTTGCCTGAGTATTGCTGCTGACCATATCATCGCTTTATGACCACCGTGTACTCATCTTCTCACGGCTGTTTCCAAGCACCACGTCACGAAACTCAAACCATCTCATGCTAATTTCTTAAGCTCACCCGGGAGGTCTAACCCAGTGGCAGCAAGATGTACCGAATGAAGTGCCTGTGAGCGAATAAAATGTTTAACTCATGAGGTTTTTCTTTTCTTTACTCTCTCCTGCATAGTAAGGCAATTGAGCTCACAAGCGCTGATTGTTGCCCCTCCACAGGCTTCCAGAAGTTGGCCAATTAGAAGACAGTGAGCTCATATGACGTTTAGCTGCTGAAATGGCTTTTCTCAGGGACTAACAAAAAATGTACAAGTATAAGATAAATATGACTTCACGATCAAAGCTTGAACTAATTTTCTTTTAAGCAAAAAAAGAAAAACTTTAAACAATCGTTTCAACTAAACTTGGCAGGCAGTCGTCCTCGCTAGTAGCTACTCATGTCTCGTGTTTATTTAGTTAATTAAATTTCTAAAACACACAGAAAGGAAACTTGCGTTGACTAAGTTTCTGGTGGATTTTTATATTTCTGTAAAAAAAAAATGATAATTTTAAAAACTCTTTCGCAGACACCTGCCGTCACTTACCGGGCCGGTGGAGTTTCTGTATCCGGCTCTGAAGAGCTGTCCTGCGGTCACAGCTGAGAGCCTGGCCCGGGCTCCTCCAGCACGGCAGAGAGGCAGAGCGGCCGCCGAGAGAAGCCTCAGTAGCTGAGACATCCCGGCTGTGCCGCGTCCCCAGATTTTCAGGCCACAAAACAAAACTTTTTTATTTAGTTCTGTCCCTGGGATCCTTCATGTAACGCCTGCAAGTTTTATTGAGTAACAGCGTGAGATGTCAACTGGAGGATGATGTAAAGGCCCTTGAGGCGTCCCATAAAATGCCTGTCAGAAATTGTTACGGAAGGAAATATATTTAGCAATAATGAAATAGTGATATTCCTCATTTTCAAATGTATTACAGCAATATTACTATTTTGAATTTATTCAACAAAATCACATTTATTTATGTTAAATATAAATTTATTACAATCAGGCATCATACAGGTCCTCAAAGCACAGCCTGTCACTTATTGGCTTAGAGAGAAAGTCTGGCTCGAGTGCTGTTACCAAAACATGCAATGACTTCGCTTCTTTCCTCATGACATTCATTAATACAGTCCCGATCAAAGGTTTAGGACCACATGCCTTTAAAAAGCCAAAATGTGGATTCATTTTGTGTCAGGTAGTCACACTGTCATGAGTCATGACTGATGGCAAAGGAGAAAGAAACGTTCCCTTTTTGAATGTGGTCGGCTTGTTGAACTGCATAAGCGGGGTCTTTTGCAGCGCGCTTTAGCTGCTGAGGTGGGACGCAGTAAGACAGTCATTCGCAATTTCTTAAATGATCCTGAGGGTTATGGAACAAAAAAAATCAAGTGGAAGACCCAAAATTTCACCAGCACTGAGCAAGGATCCAATTGGCTGTCCGTGAAGACAGTGGACGATCCTCGATCCAAATTAAGGCCGTTACTGATGCTGACTGCATCCCCATAACCATCAGACGGCATCTGAGACTGAAGGGCTTCAAAAGCAAAAACGTCTTCAAAGGTGTCGTCTCCTTGAACGCCACGTTTGGACTTTGCAAGAGAGCACCAAATATGGGACACTGAAAAGTGGAAGAAAGTTTTATTCACTGATAAGAAGAAATTTAACCTTGATGGTCCTGATGGCAGATGTTTTCTATGCGCAGCGGTGGAGGGGGCACCGTAGTGGTCTGGGGTGCTTTTACTTTCAGTGGAATAATGAAGCTTCAGGAGATGCAGGGGCGTCAAACGGCCGCTGGGTATGTCCAGATGTTGCAGAGACCATTCCTCATGACTGAGGGCCCTCGTCTGTGTGGTAACGATTTGGTTTTTTCTACTGGACAATGCGCCAGTACAAAATGCCCGCAGAACAAGGGACACTGCTAGGAGAATAACATCACTGTTTTGGACCATCCTGCTTGTTCCCCTGATCTAAATCCAGCTGAGAACATTTGGGGAAAGATGGCAAGGGAAGTTCACAAAGATGGACAACAGTTCCAGACAGTAGATGCCCTTCGTGTGGCCGTCATCACCACTTGGAAAAATGTTCCCAATCACCTCATGGAAATGCTTGCAACAAGCATGCCGCAATGAATTATTGAAGTGATCAACAACAACTGTGGCGCTACTTATTACTGAGTTCATGTTTGGAACCCGTTTACAGGGTTTTTTTGGTGGTGTGGTCCTAAACTTTTGATCAGCTATAAAACAGCCTGTTTCAGTTTAAGCATTGTTTTCAATAAATTGCAGGCTCAAAAAATGTTTTGTCTCTCTCCATTTCTTCTTATTGCATGTTGAAGCTCTACTTGGAACCTTGTTAGGAACCAGCCATGCAAAATAAGATTTATTTGCCATTTTCCAAGTTGTCTTAGACTTTTGATCGAGACTGTGTTAACAATATTCTGTTCAATTTAACATAAATTATATATATTTTAATTTTAAATCAATCTAAATAAAATGTTTGGTCACTTTAATCAAAAAGCTGTGCTTCTGTTAATTTGAAAAAAGTGTTAAGTTTCAGTTGCAACTAACTATTAATTGATCTTGTTATTCAAAGTGTTAATAAGTTACTGTTCGGTATATTAAATATTAGAAAAAGGGACACATATTGCTCTTTAGCCACTGATTTTAAGAAAAGCAGCAAATACAAAGAAAAAACTAAAACCAGCAAATGTTTTGTTTGGTTTCTTTTAAAATAATTTCAAATTACTGCCTTAACGAAATGGACTTTTCGCTATACTTAAGGAACACTTAAAGAATAATAATAAATAGAGCAAGTGTGTGTGTGTGTATTGCTTTAAACATTATTCATGGAGATATTAAAGATAAAGAAAAATTTAATTCATTCATGCCACACAATAAGAAGAAGCGGGACACCCGCAGAGAATCATCAGGTATTTGTACAGAGTGGCAAGGGACCTATAATGCAGACTGTAATGGAGGTTTTAATGTTGTTTTTGATTGGTGTAAATACACTCATGAGGTGAAACTCAACAAATAACAAATGTAGCACACAATAACACCTGAGTAAAATATACCTAAACCTAAGTCATGAATCTATAAAACAGCATCTCTCTGCAGCTTTCAGCTTCCTCTGTAAGTGCTGTAGGAGAAGCGACTCATCAGTAGAGGGATGTGAAACCTCTGCTCTGGCTCACTGATGGTGAACACAACCTGGAAACACACAAACGCACACACAAATGATTACAGCAAGATGAAAAATGCCTTTTAATGTTTGATACAAAAATGATTTCAACAAAAACGTTGTTTGTTGTAAACCCCACTGTCTTTGATGTCACAGTTTTTATTGGACATGAAGATGTGAATAATGCTGTGACATTATTATAAACACTTTGTTGAAGTAAGTATAAGTAAGTAAGAATGTTTTTAAAATTTCATTTAAATTTTCCTGTTGCTCATTTGTTGATAATGACATTTGTGTGTTTTAGGAGATTTGGCGACCCCTTGTGGTGAACAAACTAACTGCTATCAAACTGTTTCTGTTCCCAAATAAATGTGTTGTCTCTACATCTTGTCCTACCCGTGATACTTATAAGGATCTTTTCACATGTGTGGGTTACTATATACCTAAATCAGACCAGTTTATTTCGTTCAGATATAGGATAGTGACACCTCATGACTCACCTCCACATAGGGGTAGAAAGAGGGCTGACCAAGGCCCTCCCAGTATGAACCCGTCTCAAAGCGGAGCTTGTACATGCCAGGAGTGAACGTTTCTTGGTTGATGAGTCCTGGGCAGCGGCCATCTTGGTTTGTTGTCCTGAAAATTAATAATTAATAAATTATTAATTAGTTCTGAGTGCAGGTTTTCATCAGCTCACCCGGAAGAAAAGCCCCACATTTTTGGCCTTTTCAGTTTTTGATTTTATCAGGCTTCAGGCTTTGAATAATAAACACATTAACAGGGGATTAAGCTATGTGTACGAATGTATGAAAGCCTACCCGACACTCAGCATGGCCCAGATCATCAGCTTGGAGTCCAGTCGGTGCAGGCTGAGGGCCATCCTGGCTGCCGGGACGCCGTCGGTAGCGTTCAGCACGTGAGTGGTCAGAGGGCTGGACTCCGCCATGATCTGCTGGATGGCAGGGGACAGGTCAGATTTAAATGTGGGACCTTTAGTTACAGTAATCGACGTCATGACACCACCGTATGGAAGAATGTTCAATCTGTGAGGCTGTTCTGAAGGCAAAAGGGGATCCAAGCCAGTACCTAGTAGCAAATTGTGACCAGTGAAGGTATAGAAACAATGATTTCCCTCTTAATACCAGTCTATGGTGGTCATCTGATGCTCATCTACTTCTAACACCTCCATGTAAAGCAATCACAGTCCTCTCGGCACCAAACAGGACAGAAAAAAAGAGAAATGCAACAATAACCTTAAGCTTTATTAATATGGTCAATGATATTATGTCTGCTAACTAAAAAAAGAAAACTATCAGGAATCCTCCTCTGTCTAACATAACTGTTTGTGTCTTTTGTTTTTTTAGATTAATAAAAGTACAAGGATAAAAACCTTTTTGTCTCTTCAGAGGTGCTTTCATGATCGCTGCCCACCACTTATGCAATAGTTTGCAACTGGTCACAGAGTGAAAGAGCAGGATTGTTAGCAGTGAGTCTGCACTTAGTGATCTGTCCGAGAGGGATTTCTGTTCAGAGACAGGTTGGCTCCCACCAGGCAATGCGCACAATCGGCTTGCGATCAGAAGCAGCTACCTCGGTCAGCCTCTGCGTGTGCAGTGATTCCCAAAATTCTTTTTAAAAAAGAAAAAAGAAATCAATCCCCCAGCAATGCTCCCATCTTATTTTTATAGTGTGGCTGGAGCACAAAGCAGCGTTTTCTATACTGCAGCCAGACACCAAAGGGAGATGATGATGCTTCAGCTTCACTTTTGAGAAGCTGTGACATTCTCATCTTTATTTACGGTGATTCAGACTGAATTTACGCTTCAGCTCTTCGACATCAGAGTGTTTAATGTAGCAGTCCAACGTTTGAGTGTCATACCTACACTTTCTCAATATTTCCCATCTTAGCAAATGATCATACGGACAGATTTGGCCATAGACTCTGGTCTGACACCTGCAGATTACAGCTCTGTGCTCCAAGTTTAATAAACTACTCAGAAGACAAGGATTATGATGTCATGACATTACCTGTCAGTCATGTGACCATGTACCTCATGTTTATTTTCCTCAGCTTTAATGTAAACAAAAATGACTAATATATAAGTCTCTGAAGTTTCATGTGACACCTTCTGTGTGTTAAGACACTGAGTCCATATCAAGAGGTTTTTTTCAATTATTGGAAACTTTCTTGAGGAATTAACGATAAATATGCTTCAAAATAGGAATAAAGAAAATTATAAGCCTAAAGAGTTCACGTATGAAGCTTACATATCATTATAAGATGACCAGAGGACACATACCACTTCTAAGTGGAGACAAGAGCAGCACATACATGCACTGGTGACACTTTAAAACACTGAAGTGCATCAGTGTGAAACAGAAACACCTCTGGCCTCATTGCTGTAGTCTATAATAGGAGAAGCCTTACCTGTGTGAGAGCTCTCCCCTCTGCTGCAGCCGGGTCATTCAGTATTCCAAACTCCTCCAACCAGCTGTGGTATCACTGCACACTCCTCCCTCATACACCTACCCAGCATGCACTTTAAACAGACCCAGTCTCAAAGGTTGTCCTGATTCTAATAAATCATTAAAACCAGCCAAGAGAGTGCAGCTTTCCTTCAGTCAACAACATGTGATTCATTTAATCACTGGGATTGTTTTGCATGATTAGGCTCATTGTAATGTCAGACATCCCCTACTGTGCACCTCTGACTACGTTTTCTTCTGATACCATTTGACTGGAAGAGACTGGAACAATCCCCACTGCCAGCTAGCATTTTAGTTCACAGGCAGAGATTAAATGCAGAAGCTTTAGTTGCTATTGTTACTGGCAGGTTAGGAATAAGAGCTACTGGGTGAGGCATGGGTAAATTCACAAGTTTGAATACAGTGTTTACCCACATGCAACATAAAAGATGGATGTAAAGCAGGCTTTTGCAAGTGCTGTTCAATGCTGCAGGTTTTGGTATCGATCA